CTGACTCCAGCAGTGGAGGCACCAATCTGGGCTCAAATTGGGGCTATTTTCATGCTCTGCTCAGAAGGTCAGGACAAAAATGGAACAACTTCTCCACAGACAGGCTTCTTGGGGGCAGAGGAAGTGAAGCTACCTGAGCCTTGGGAGGAGGCTGGAGGGACCCACAGCGTCAGTGGCGATGGGACAGGAGTGGACGGTGTCCCAGTGCCTGCTGCTTCTCTTGCTCTCTAAGGCTACGCCGCAGGGGCTGAGCTCGCCTTGTGCGGAGTGGAGTTAAGGCTGAAGGCCGGAGAAGGTCAACTCCAAGCCTGAGTGGCCGGAGGGCGGGAGGGGGAGAGAGCCCTGCTCCCCTCACAGCCCAGCACCACTGAGAAAAATAAGAAAGGCCGGGGAGAAAGTCAGGAGGAGAAAGCATAGAGGAGGGAGGAAAAAGCAACAGCTGAACTGTCGGACAGAAGGAAGGAAGGAGGAGGTGAGGAAGACAGAGAATTAAGGAGAACAGAGGCTCCGGCAAAGAAGCAAAAGTGAATAAGGAAAAAGCGAAGGAAAGAAAAATGGAGAAGGAAGCAGATAAAGAGAAAAGAGGCTTCACAGAGGAGGAAAAACACGACGAGAAGAGGAAATGAAAGAAAGGGAAAGACAGGGAAAAAGAAAGGAGACAGAAAACAGATGTCCCAAAGGAGCCGCCGGTAAGGCGCAAGGGCTCTGGCTTCTCTCCGAGGGAGCGCAGGCCACAGCCCCGCCGCTGCAAGCACCCCCCCTGACCTGCCTGGGGCAGCTGGAAGCAAACCGTTAAAGTGGGAAGCCAGGCTTTCTCTCACCCCCACCCCCAAACACCCTCCGTCCATCTCCTCCAGCCAAAACCTCTCTGTGAGGTGTTCGCTCTTTGGTTTCGATTCAGGAGGCCAAGTTAAGTGAGTGACCGACTTGGGCAGAGCAGAAAGGAGTCGTCGTTGAGCGCAGATGAGCAGATGAGCAGACTTCAGGGCGCAGGAATCCCGGGTCTCCGTGAAAGTGAAACTCTGCGGCTGGCTGCACACCCGCCCCAGCACCATCACACACCTGCATAGGTGGAGAACTCCACGGTACCCTGCACGCGTCCCGGTCCAGAAGGGAGCTGTGCCTGGGAGGCCGGCAGGCCACCTCACCAGCCACCTTCCCCTTGTACCTGAGCACCGATCTCTCTGAGGGGCCTCAGAGCTTTCCGGCTTCTGCCTGGGGTCCCCGCCTCCCAGCTTGGCGGGGCAGAGCCCGCTGTTACCAAAGAAGAAAAGCACATTTTCCTTTTTACATTCTGGGCAGAGAATGATTTCTCTGGACCTCCAAAACAAGAGGGCAGAACACAGTTTTGAGCATCGGTGTGATTTTGCTTTCCATTTTTCTTGAGGAGATTTGAATACACACACCTTATTATTCTTTTCCTTTATTATTTTACCCCAAAGGGAGAGACACACTTACTTCTGTACTTCGCCTTTGGAATTTCCCAGATGACTTCCTTAGCCTCTTGGGGAAATCTCCACTAATTGTTCTTGGAGAGATCAGGGTGTTTTCTGGGGGCGCCTTGAGGTCTGGAGCCCGGAAAATAGCTGGAGTTGCTTTCTGTTCCTCGTGCACTATTGTTGCCTCTGGCCTCACATGGGGTCCCTCGGCCTGCCCTCTGGAACCTGCCGGATGTCCAGGAGTAGGGAAAGGGGCACCCTCTCTCCCTCCCCCAGAGGGGGCCCCACCCCCCACCCTGCTTCCCCTCCAGGGTCTGGGTGCCTGGAGAAAGGACAGGAGGGGCCCTGGGCTCTTCCCGTGTACAGGTGAAGCTGGAGCCCACTCTGGCCTGCAGTCTCTGGGTCTTCCAAACCTCAAGTTGAAGTGAGAGGGGACGCTGGAATGTGACATTGGTACAGGTCCCCCAGGACTCCCAGAAAGTCGGGGATGTGACTTAACAGGAGATTCTAGCAACACAGACTTCTCCTGGACCCCCATCGGGCTCCCCAGGGGTAGGAGCTTGAGGGTCTGTTCCTGCCAGGCAGGGCGGCAGCCCCGCACAGGCCAGGCGGTGGCCGTGGCAGCTTGAATGCCTTTGAACGCCAGGCCCAGACAATAGGGCTGAACGGCCTTTGCTCGTGGCCTCGGGAAAGACTGAGCCCCAGAGGGCAGGGCTGGGACCGGCATCCAACTGTACTCTCTGGGACCTGCACAGATACCATCCTTCCCTGCCGGGTCCTCCCCTGGAGGGTCCCTTCCTTGGGTCCCTGCGTCCGGGGCAGAACCTCAAAAGTCTGCAACCCCCCAACAAGTTACTCAAGTCTGCGTCTGCTTGGCTCTTGTTTAACAGCTTCGGGTTTGCGTTTATCCTGCGTAATTAGAGGCAAACATTTGTCCCACCGGGGGTCCCACTTAGGCTGATGAATTTGATTTCTTTTTTCATTAATGGGCCGTGTTTATCATACTTCTAATTATTTCAACTTTAAACACTATTTGTTCTTGTGAGGAGGAGGGGCATTGAGAAGGGAGGCTCCTTCTCCCGGGGGAATTATTTCTTTTAATAATGGCAAGCATTCTGAAGTGCGCCTTCCCTTCCCGTGACTGAGGTGCAGAGTGAATGTGGGGTGGCTTCCGGCTAGTAGGGGGAGACAGGTCCTGAGGCCAGTGGCTCAGTTCCTCTCCCGGCCAGCCGCTTCTCTAGGCTGAGCTTTGGGGTTGCTGTTTTCCAGAGGTAATCTGGAGTTTGTCTCCTTCACCCTGCTCCCGGCCTCTCCCATCTCCCAGGCTGGGCTCAGACCCTTCCCCTGGTAGTTCTTTGGAAGCTTCTCCCACCCAGCGGGGTCTCAGCCTGGCCTGGGCAGAAGTTCTGCTAGTCTGGCCCCGCCCTCAGCCGCCAGCACCCACAGAAAAACTGGGAAAGGCTGAGGTGGCCAGGCGGTACCTGGGTGTGGGGGCGAGAGTCCAGCAGACCCCCAAATGGGAGCTAGGGCTGGGGAATGAACCGCCAAACTCCAGGGACAGGCACACCAGGCAGGAAAATAAAGGAGACGAGAAAGAGGGGGGAGGAACCCCCCAAAGCCATATAATTCTCAATTGCTTTGGTCTTTAATTTCATCGCCCCATAAATGAGGAAATATCAGTTCCCATACTAAATTTTTATCCCCAGCTGATAAATATGACGGCGAATTTTCGTTGGGTCCTCATAAAAAGCGAACAGTTTCGATCAAACTGGTAGGGAGAGACTTATGCAGATAATACAAACAGCGCGGCCATAAAGTCTCTGCTGTTTCCCGCAGGGGGGGGCGGTGGGACAAATGGCTCCTGGATTGACTGCTGCACGGGCTGTCCCTGTCCCGAGTCTCCTCTCGGCCTAGCAGGCCAACCTTGCCTGGCCAAGCCCTGTGCCCAGCAGCGGGTCCCCTGCAAAGGCAAACACAAAACCACCTCAAATCTCCCCGGGTGCTCTGACAAGCAAATCGCAAGCCACATATTTTCCTTCGGGTTTTCTGGGGCCCAGGGGCCACAGCGCCCCTCGCTCTCACCCCCGGGGTGGAAGAATTTGGCGATTTCTTCCCGCAGCCCTTCCAGCGGCCTGCGGCTTGGGCCTCCCCGCAGCCCGCCAGCTGCTTCCCTCCGCCGGGCGCCTGAAGCTCTGGTCCTTTTCCGACCAGGCTCCGGCCTTCTGGAAAGTCGAAACCGGAGGCTGGGTCCTGGGGAAAATGCGGGGCGACCGGAAAGACAAGTTATTCTCCGGATTCCGTTTCCTGAGGAAGGGGTGGGGAGTTTAGTTCGCTTTGGGAGAAAGGCGATGGGGACACGCAAAGAACTACTTGACACATCCCTCGCCCCTCATTTTCCTGCTTCCTTTTATTAACAAACAGCAGCAAAAACCCACATCAGTCTTGCTCTCGAAAATGCCCCTAGCTCACCCCGCGCGCGCGAAGGACACTTTTTGGGCGAGATTTTGTTGCGCCTGGCGTTCGCTTTCCCGTGTGATACGTGACTCCCCCAAACCGGCCGATTTCTTCCTTCTCTCTGAGAATATTCCCTCTTTTAGTGGGGACAAGGTCAATTGGAAAGCCAGGGCCGCAAGGGGCCTGGAACAAAAAAAAAAAAAAAAAAGGGTCAAACGGCTCCAGGCTCAGGCTCCCCCTGAGCTGGTAACCCCGAGAGCCCACGCAGCCAGGCCCAGGCTGAACCCCGGCAGAGCGCAAAGCCTCTGGTTACCCGTTCCCTCCTTCCCAGATCCCTAGATCCACTGAGAACTCTCCCCCGCACCCCAACAGCCATGAAGAGATGGTGACCCCCTCCCTAACCACTCAGACCCTGGAGAACCCCAATAACCCCCTCCAGGGAACTAGCAACTCAATCGGTTCCCAAGAAGACAGCCCCACACTGGGCTCCCGGCCCCAGGGCCAAGCCCCACGAGGGAGGACGCAGAAGGCAAGAAACTTTAGTTCTGTTTGGGATTCCTTAACTTTTCCCTGCCCACTGGAGTCCTCCCCGCCAACCCCATCCCGGTCCCGACCCAAGGAAAGCAGCGGGGCCGCGGGCGAGAAGGGGAAGGGGGAGGTGAGGAGAGGGAAGAAGTACCTGGATCGTGTCTTGACCTTTTAATTTGAATTTGACTGTTTTGAGCCCCCAGTTGCCTCGCTCACTCCCTCTCTCCCGTCTTTGCCCCCTCTCCGCCCCCTCTCCCCAGGAGCTACGGGCGGGCTCCGGGGTAAACAAACCCCGTTCTCCCTAGAATCTCCCCCGCACCCCCCTCCGCCCCCTCCCATCCCCGCAGCCCGGGGGGCGCTTCCTTTGTTCGCGGGCACGGACGCCAGCGCCCCTACCCGCGGGCGGCTGCTAGGTGGCGCTGTTACTCCACGCTGCGCGCTCCGCGAGCCGACAACTTGACCCCGCTGACGTCACGGCCGTCTGAATCATCAAGGCCATTTTCAAATCCCATTGGTCTAGCCGTCACATGGTGAGGCCCGAATGCGCGGATAATTATGGAGCTGATATTTCCCCCCCTTCCCCTTCTCGTCCCTCCCGCCCCACCAGCCTCCCCCCTCCCGGATGGGGGAAAAAAAAAAAAGATGTCAGCTCCTCCGCTATAGTATTGCTTCTTAAAAACCCCTCTCTCTGAAGATGACATGCCCTCGCCATGTAACTCCGAACTCGTACGCGGAGCCCTTGGCTGCGCCGGGCGGCGGAGAGCGCTATAGCCGGAGTGCAGGCATGTATATGCAATCTGGGAGTGACTTCAACTGCGGGGTGATGAGGGGCTGCGGGCTCGCGCCCGCGCTCTCCAAAAGAGACGAGGGCGGCAGCCCCAACCTCGCCCTCAACACCTACCCGTCCTACCTCTCCCAGCTGGACTCCTGGGGCGACCCTAAGGCCGCCTACCGCCTGGAACAACCTGTTGGCAGGCCTCTGTCCTCCTGCTCCTACCCACCTAGTGTCAAGGAGGAGAACGTCTGTTGCATGTTCAGCGCAGAGACGCGGGCGAAAAGTGGCCCCGAAGCAGCTCTCTATTCCCGCCCCCTGCAGGAACCTTGCCTCTCCGAGCACGAGGTGCCAGTGCCCAGCTATTACCGCGCCAGCCCCAGCTTCTCCGCGCTGGACAAGCCGCCCCTCTGTGCCGGGGCCACCGACTTCGAGGCCCCGTTTGAGCAGCGGGCCGGGCTCAACCCGCGCGCCGAACAGCTGGAGTCGCCCCAGCTTGGGGGAAAAGTGAGTTTCCCTGAGACCCCCAAGTCCGACAGCCAGACCCCCAGTCCCAGTGAGATCAAAACCGAGCAAAGCCTAGTGGGCCCCAAAGGCAGCCCCTTGGAGAGCGAGAAGGAGCGGGCCAAACCCGCCGACTCCAGCCCAGACACTTCGGACAACGAAGCGAAAGGTAAGCTGCCCGGCCGCGGCTGGCGGGGACGCTGGGGCAGGGGTCTCCGTGGCCTCGGACAGCCACAGGGGAGGGCTGGGCCCAGGAGGCCCAGGACGGGCCGGGAGTGCGACCGACCGGCTTGCTATTCGCGTCTGCTGAGCGCTAAGCTGGTGGCATGTCATTTGGGTCGGGAAGGTAAGCGGCAGAGTGGAGGTGCGGCCAGGCAGCGGCCCTGGGCCGGAGACCCGAGGGTGGTGGGCACCCCGGCAGGCAGCCCGTGGCGCCCGGAGCTGCCCAGGAAGGGGGCATGCTGGCTTTGGTTTGCTTGCTACGCTGGTGTTGGGGGGGGCGGAGGGATGCCCCCCCCTTTGGTCAGAGGCTTGGGGGAGAAAAAAAAGCTTAAAATGGCGATCTTGGGCCGGGGACCAGGGAATGCTTGGCAGGAGCGTTTTGACTTAATGCGTTTTCCCAGTTGAAAATTGTTTCTTGCAAAGCACGCTTTGTTGTTTGTGGGTCTGAAGCCGGTGATGGTGGTTTGGTTTTCTGCAGCTTGGGGCTCCGCGGGGCCTCCGACAGGCGGCTGGGCTGGGGCCGGTAGAGGTGGAGGAGAGGAGCTGCCCGCACGTCCCTGCCCCCCAAATGCCTGGCTTGGGGGTAACGTTGGAACAGGGCACTTGGCATGTTGTGAGGGTTTTTTTGTGTGTGTGTCTCCCTTTAAATTTTTTTTCTTTTGGTTTCCAGTTAAAGACAAAAAAAATTTCTTGTTGGTTTCCAAAAGCAGCTTACAAATGAATGTCTGGGAATTTCTGTGTGCGTGGCAAGCGGTTTCTCCTGAAGGGAGTGTGGCTTTAGTTGCATTTCATGTGATTTTGGCTGGGGAGAGGACACCTAGCCAGAGGTCAAGCTCAGGGTTCAAGATTCATTTCTGCTGCTAGAACTGGGGGCCTCCAGGACCTCTCTCTGACACCTGGAGGGAAAAACCGTGGGCTAGACAGAAGCAGCGGAAGGAGGCTGAGAACGACTTTTCCTGAAAAGTTGGTTCAGGAAGCGTTGGGAAAGGCCCCCTGGGGAGGGGGTTAAAGGCAGCTGGTGGCGCAGGCTGCAGGGGCTGTGTGTAAGGTTGTGGGGTGCAGAGGTAGATGCACACTGGGAACTGGGGCAGCAGGGACCTCTGGTGCTTTGTACGCGGATTCACGCACACGCACGCACGCCTGGGCGACCTGTGTCACACTCACGCCCCTCCGTGTGTGGCACTCGGGCAGACCCGCATACGCTCGCCTGCCGGCAAGAGCCCCTTTGGGTCTCCTCTGCCAGGCGGCAGGTCAGCCCGTGGGGGCCCTGGCCAGAGAGGAGCATGCTCAGGAGGGTGGAGGGGAGCGTGGGGCACCCCCACCCCACCCCCACAACTCCTTCCTGTGACACCAGTGCACGTCAAAGTTTTTTTAATACCCTCTCCCAGGTCTGGGCTTGGCTAAAGCGCAGTTTTAGGACAGGGAGAGCGGTGTTCTAGCCTCACCACAAGCAAAGTCAAGGTTAACGAGCCAACCTCCTAACTCCCACGGGCACTGCTCCTGTGGGTGGACTCTCCTGTTCTCCCCTGCCCTCCCCAGGACAACCTGAGGCCCCCAACTCCAGCTAACCCCTCTCAGTCTGCACTTTACCTAACGTCCTCACTCCTCCCTCCCATTTTGGGGTCTCTGCCAGGTGAGAGGCTTTTCAGTCCCACATCCCCCTTGTAATTTCTCTCCCCTCAAGTCCAACAGCTCCAGTAAAGACAAAAATAATCAGCAAGACAGAATTGGATGCGAAGAGTCTTTAAACAATTGGGCAGGAGGCTGCAGGTGCAGAGATGGGAGCAGAACTGAGGGCATCAGATGCTTTCAGCTATACCCTCAAGTCTGAATTTTTTTTCTGGTGCTTCTTGGTTCTACCAGGGCCCCTGCCCACCCCACTCCCCATCAAAGTGAGAGTCAGGAACCTAGGGATTTCATTTCACGTGGGGAGAGAGGGGCACAGAGCCACCATCAGAGCCCTTGGCTGGGTCCCCCTCTTAGATCTCCGGACTTGGGGTTTTTCTCTAGACTTGAGAAACAAGTCTGGTCCATCCCAGTCAGAATGTGTGCCAGGGAGAGCTGTCAGGAAGAGCACGGGTAATGCACACGACACTCCCAGTGCTTTCTTCTAAAAATAGAAGTGGATCCGTGCACATACGTGTCAGAGCATGCACCTCTGCAGAGGGCACATGCACGCAGACACACATGCCACCGAGCCAGGCAGGCGCTCTCCAGGGGCTCACCTCCCAGGGCAGCTCTCCCTGGCCATAGGTCCTATGGCCAGGACAGTGGTCTGAGGACCCCCCAGCATGACCCAGGGGACCCCTGGGCAAGAGTACTTCCTCGCCCACTCATACCTGGGGGTGGTGGTCAGGACAGGAGTAACTGGCGGTGGGGGCTGGGGTGGGCAGAGTCCCTCTGTGGCGAGTACATTGGAAGCAGGGCTGGGGGTCTGGGACAGAAACAGCTGCACGGCCTGTGGCCGGACACGGGCGTCCTCTCTCCACTGACCTGGAAAGGGTGGAGCTGCTGGGAATTGCCCTGGACTGCAGGGAGACCCCGCAGTGCGGCCCCAGACCTGGAAAACACTTTTCCTTCTTGTTGGAATTTTCCAGAACTGGGATGGAACAGAGAGGAGGGACAGAGGAGAGGTTTCCAGGAACCATGAGGGTCAGCCAGCTGACAGAAAGCCGAGTACTGAGAACCTGCTAGGTCAAGGTGGGTTGCAGGCAACCAAATTTAATAAATGCTTTCGAGGCAAGAGCTGTCTTTCCCCCCTGTCAGCCTAGACCCCAAAGAAATCCTAGGAACCCTGAGTCCAGAGGACCCCAACAGCCAGGCCTGTGGGCAAGAACAGCTCCCCTGTGTTCCCTCAGCCGCCCCACAGCTTGCTGGCAAAGGCTGCAGCTTGCTGGAGGGTCTGCCTCTTCGAGGGGTACTTATGTAAATAATGTTATTTTTAACAGAGGAGATAAAGGCAGAAAACACCACAGGAAATTGGCTGACAGCAAAGAGCGGAAGGAAGAAGAGGTGCCCCTATACTAAACACCAGACGCTGGAATTGGAGAAAGAATTTCTGTTCAATATGTATTTGACGCGAGAGCGCCGCCTGGAGATTAGCAAGACCATTAACCTTACAGACAGACAAGTCAAAATCTGGTTTCAAAATCGCAGAATGAAACTCAAGAAAATGAACCGAGAGAATCGGATCCGGGAACTGACCTCCAATTTTAATTTCACCTGAGGGGCGACCTTCCCTCCGCCTCCCCGCCCTCCCCCTTTCCTTTCCCCGCCCCAACTCCCTTTGTGCCTGGTGGTATATTTTTTTCCCTCCCTGAGTATAAATGCAAGGCGCCTACAAAAAAAAAGGCAAAGACCTCAGACTCTCCTTCCGAGGGACCTATGGTTCGTGCTGCGAAGACCCAACCACCTAAAGCATGAGAAACGGGGGTGCTGGGATGCAGGGCCCTGGCGTGCCCACATGGAGAGGGTGGGGGTGTGGCTGGTGCTGGGTGCGTGTCAGCCCCTCACTCACCCCCACTCACACACAGCATCATGTTCTCCATGCAAAGTTAAGGTCGAATCCACCGATAGTGGGGGGGGGGAGGGGAGAAAAACCCACCGGAGAAGGTCTGTAACCTCGCAGAGCACAGTCAGAATCGCTCCTACCCGGCTGCGTTTCCTCCTTAGCATAATAGATGTTTTTGGAAAGTTCAGCTAGTGTTTGTGTGTCTGTTGAAGCGCCCAGCGTCTCCACCAAACCCTGTCGATGTCTTTACCTCCCAGTTGCTCTGAAAATCTGCTTGAAGTCTCGTATTTGTACAGCTTTCTGCTCTACGCCCATCCTCCCAGCACCCCCATGCCCCCCATAAGCTGACATCTTAGAAATTCTATCCAGAGGAACAAAAAAAAATTAAATATTAAAACTAGAACATAGGAAAGCCAAGACAGAACCTCCCTCCTCACCTTGCCCCTGTGTGGGAGTTGTGTTATTTAAAGATATTCTGTATGCTGTATCTTTTGCATGTAGCTTCCTTAATGGAGAAAAAAATTCAAATAAATTTCCAGAATCGTAATCCTCCAATGGGTGGTTTTTTGTTTTTAGTGTTTTTTAGCGACCCCCCCCCCACGAGGCTGAGTGTGGATGTGTGTTTTGTGTTTGACTCATCTCCTCGAGCCTTTCTAGAACGTCTCTTGGCGGGTTTAATGTAAGTGAGAGACCATAACGTTGATTTAAATATTATCCAGGTGACCACAATAAGTCAAGGTCATAAAACAGTAATGTCAGGACGGTCTTGGTGCGCGCGAGAGGTGGATTTTATGATCTGCAAATATAATGTGGAGCTGCAGTAAAAGATGCATTTAAAGGTGACTGGAGGAGGGAAAGAGGCAGAGAGCAACTGCAATCTTGAGGAGCAGACCGATCTGACTGCCTGGGGTGCTGGGCCACTCGCACCCCACCGCTGCTGGGGAGGACCCCAAGAGGCCCCCACCTATCCAAGGAGAGGAATAAACTTAACCGCCGGAGGGGGGTGAGGAGCCCAGTCAGCCCCCCTCAGCAGCAGCAGAGCGCGGCGCAGGAGGAGGCAGCCACAAGGTAAGAGAAGCGGTTTCTTGTCCTTCTCTCCGTGCGGCGCGAGCGAGCCTGGCGGCATCCCCAGGTGCCGGGCGCCGGGGCGGGCAGAGCCGGGAAGGTGTGCGTGCGCCCAGGCTCCTCGCTGCCGCTGCCGGCCCAGGCTTGCCGGGGGCCACTGGCGGCGGGGGCGGTGGCCGCGCTCTTCCTCCCCGCCCCTCCCCAGCCCCTGGCCTTGGGGTGCTGCGGCGCTTGAAGGGGTACATTGGTAGGTTTTGGCTTCTTTCTGTGCGAGGGCACTTAGGGCACTTAGGGTCGTCTGGAGGTTGACACATGGGTCAGCCTGGTTGGCTGCTGGGGTGGGGGGCAGGGGGAGAAGGAACTGGAGAGGGCTGGAGCGAGATGCTCAGCTCAGGTTTTCCTGCTAGGGCTGGTTTGGAGGTGAGCCTTCTCCGGGCTCTCAGTCCCCACGCGCCCTGGCCGTGGGCTTGGCCAGGCCAGGGCGCTGACTGGAAGAGGCTCTGGCGCGCAGGCGAGGTGGCTCCGGGCGGCCACAGACAGAGGGACGCGGAGTGCAGCTGAGGGAGAGGCTCAGAGAGAGCTGGGCAGAGCACAGGAGAGCCAGATGGACAGGACAGAGGACAGCCCAGAGTGGAAGGACACTCCAGCTTCCCCCAGGGCCAGGCCGGAGGCATGGGAATGGCTTCGCGGCTGCTGGGGGTGGGGCAGGGCTCTGGCGTCTGGAGGTCCAGGTTTGCCAGGCTTCTCCTGAGCACTTGGCTTAGACCAGAAGCTGAGTCGGCGGCCAGACCTTCTACCCACCCAGCCACCCCGTCTCCTCACCAGCCCTGAGGGAGGTTGTGGGGCGGAAAGGGGGACGGGGCTGAATTTCTTCCTTCCCCAACCCCCTTCCCTTCTCCTCCCGATAGAGGCAAAGCTGAATCTCCCGCCCTCTCGCTCAGCTGATCTGTGGCTTAGGTAGTTTCATGTTGTTGGGATTGAGTGTTGGACTCGGCAACAAGAAACTGCCTGAGTTACATCAGTCGGTTTTCGTCGAGGGAGGGCCCCAACCCACCTCTCCCGCTCCTTCCCTACCCAGGGGGACTGCCCCACACCCCCTCCCCGAGCCGGCAGAGTGGATGCAGCCTGAGGAAGACAAGGCTGAGTGGAGCAGCGGGATGAGTCCGGAGAACCCCGCTTTATGCTGCTCACTCCTCAGCCTCCCCCAGTTCCTGGGACTGAGGGAGAGGGGGTTTTTCCATAGCTATTGTTTCCTGGGCCCAGCTGATAGGGACAGACAAAGAAGGGCTAGCCAATTCCAAGGAAATTCAGGAATCTGAGTAAGAGGTGTCCTGGAGGCACCCTCAGTTGGGTAGCAGGGTGGGGCAGGGTCATTAGGAGAGAGAAAAGCACAGAAAGTGAAGGGAGCCGGTGGGAGGCTTGGTTTCCCTCACCCACCACCTCCAAGGGAAAAGTATGCCTCCAGTCAGCTGGGGCTGCAGTCTCTCCTTAGGTCAGTGGGGTGTCTGGGGGTCCCAAGAGTTGGGAAACTCAGCGCCAACTCTCCCACCTCCCTTCCCCTGCTATGGCTCCTTCCCCAGGAGAAGGGCACATTTAGGGTATTGGTGGGGTAGGGGAAAGCCATCAAGTCCAAGTAGAACCCCCCTCCGCATACCCTACTGGGAACGTCTGGCGGGAGCCTGCTCTGGTCTGTCTGCTCTGTCTGTGGCCCATGGGCTCGGCCTGTTGTGTCTGTAGTTGTCAGTCAGTGGCTTGTTTTGTGCTGTGAGGAAACGTCTGGGTGGACGAAGGCTGCAGTGCCCACCATTACCATATTGCTGGGAAAGCTGTTGGCTAATGCCAGGGAGGGGAGGGGAGGGTTGTAGGGTAGGGGACAGGGAAGTGGGCAATAGGAAACTTGGCAAAGCCTCTTCCCCTCCTCCCCTCCCTCAACTATTCTGGTTCTAGCTGCTCAGAGAAGGCTCTTGAAAGAGGTTTTGCTGCCTGAGGCGAAAAATGGGGGGTAAAAGGGGGGTGAAAGGCGAGTGGGGAAAATACACCCCTGTTCTCAGAGAGACCGGGAAGGAGAAAGCCAAAAGGAAAAGGCCAGGTTCTGGATTCTCTCTGAAATTATGATTATTAAAACACTTGCAAACTTTCAGACAGGGGAACAAAATCATGTCCCTGTACAAAGTCTGAGGTGGAGTTCCACATGATGGCTGATGGCGGCTGTCTGCTGTGAAAGGGGAGTAGATGTGGCCGGAGTGGGTCTGGGGCTCTGTTTCTGTATTTCTGTCTCCTCCAGGCACTCTCAAAACCCGTGCTTATATTCATGCACATGGGCATGTGTTTTTCTCTTTTTTATAAAAAGAGATTTCTTTGACCCCAGGGAGATTAGAGAATGGGAACAGAGCCTCTCTGCTCCCCTGTCGAATTTGTTTATCGGTGGGCTTCTTGGGTATTCCCCACCCTTATTTTGGGGGGGAACCTCTTCCCTTGGAGGTAAATCTTTCTATGGCTCCCAAGGAACATGGAGAGATTTCCAGAGGGAGAGATCAGCTGATACAGGGCGGGCAGGATTGGGGATCCCCTAGCAGTCTCTGAGTGTTCAGGCTGTCAGAAGCTGGGAACCAGTTGGAGTGAAGGAGCCCCAAGGATGGGCGGGGTGCCCAGGAGTGCCTGGCTTGGAAACTGTCCCTGATGGGCCGAAATTCACCAATGAACGACTTCTGCACTTTGGGTCTCTCTGGCCCCATTCCTGCTTCAGAGTCGGTGGGCTGAGAGGGGGTGACCACAGAGTCACAGACCTGGGCGTCCTCCGCCCCAGAGCCTGGGGAGTGGGGCGAGTTCTCATAAGGCCAAGGTGAGGACCACTCTGGTGGCCAGAATCCAGCCCTGGGCCCTGGAGCCGTGGATCGTGGCTAAGGAGATGGTGGTTATTTATTCGCTTCGCTGGAAGGGAGTCTTCAGAGGAAACAGCGTGAAGAGGAGGGAAAAAATTATATCTCTCGTCTGCGGATATTAAGATGGATTTTTATTTCTTAAAGGACCCTCCCCGCCGAGAGCGCATAAGCGTAAACTTAATATATGCTCTGCAGCCCAATTCCAGAAATCGCAATAAAAGTTAAAACCTCCCCTACTGGTTTTTTTTAATTATGATATGGGAAAGAGGAGCAGGATTTATAGAGCTGAACTCTCGGCTGTGAGTGTTTAAGACTTGCGGGAGAAGGAGAACACGGCAAGAGCTTGCCCAGGAGAGCCTTGGTCTGAGATGCCGAGCGGCTGCGCGGCCGGGCTGAGCCGGGCTGAGCCCAGCCATCCTCGGTGGCCTCCCGGGACCGGCGCCCAGCACCCTCCGCCTGGGCCCGGACCTTGCCTCGGCTCAGAAATGCAGCCCTTCTTGGGAACAGGTGAAGGGCAGCGACGGCGGGGGGCTGGGGCTGGGAGAGGGGGCGTCGGGACACCGGCTTTGTGTGGGTCCGAGCCGAGCCGAGGAGGAGATCGGAAGTCCCGGGCGGGGCCGTGGCCGAGTGTGGCCTGGCGGGCGCCTGGCCCGGGAGGGGTGTCGGGCGGCTCGAGAGCACTGACAAGGTGGATTGTGTGTGGACTTTGGCCGGAGACGGAGCAGAGCGCGCTCCAGGCAGAGGCCAGCGGCCAGGCAGGCAACCGGATGTTGAGTCTGTGGAAGGACCTTGAGGTCTGCGTGGTGTTTGGGCTGCCTGGGGGCGGCGGCCCGGAGCGGGGAGCGCGCAGCGTGGGGCGCGGCGGTCCGCGTGGGCGAGGCAGCAGGCCGGCACACCTCTGCAGCTGCAGGCCGTGTCCAGGGCCGCCGAGTGGAGGCCCGCCGCTGGCCAGAGCATGGCAAATAAACGCAGTGGAGGGTCTCTGCCTGCACCACGTTCGAGGGCCTTTCTTTTTGCTCTCTGTCGGAGATACCTGGATTGGGTCCAGAACAGGTTGCCCGCGGGAGGGCCCGCGAGCGGCAGCGGGCGAGGGAGGGAGGGAGGGAGGGCGAGAAGGAGGGAGGGAGGAAGGAGGGCGGGCAGCGGCGGCTGCGGTGGCCGGCCTCCCTCCCCCGGCGGGGAGGCGGTTGCCCTGCCTCTGTGGCCGTGGGGAGCGGAGGAGCAGGTAACGAAAGCGCTTCCCGAGGCGGGATTGGACCACGCCGGAGGGACCGAGGCTTCGGGGTCTCTGCCCAACGCCCTGGAGGGGAGAGAAGGTAGGGAGATCCGCGCCCAACGCCGGGCCTGACAGGCCAGGGCAATGTTGAACCTGTATTTGATTTCAGGCTCACACTCATGTTGTGAGCCTGTCTGCTTCCGGAGATGCGGTTTGACTGTCTGTCTGTGTGTCTGTCTGTTTGGGACGTCCCAAACCCCAGGCTCTTCTTCCAAAGGCTGAAAAAATCGGGAAAATTCGCCGGAATGTGCTCTTTCATTCATTGGATTCTCTGCAACTCGGCGGGGCTGGCCGCTGCGCCCCCAAGTTGGGAGGGCGCTTTCCTGGATGCCCGGTGCTCTGGTTCCCTTGGTCACGGGCTGAGTTTCCGGCTCCAGGTTCTCGGGTTGCCCTGAGGTTTGAGGCCAGACAGCTCCCAGTCGGGCCAGGAGGGCGGGGGAGAGGCCAGGCTCTGGCCCTTAATTGTACTTCGGTCCGTATTGTCTCTCCTTTCGCCACCTCCGCTTCCTCAGTCTAGCTCCAAAGTCACTGCAAATTTCCTTACGACACACATCACACAAAGATCAGGTAACACGCGCCCAGGGCCCTGGGGCTCCAGGCAGAGGGCACCCCTGGCCCTGGGGCCGCTCCCCCTTCGGCTCCTCGCTAGGCTGGAAAACTGGACGCGGTTGGGGGAGCCGGAAATAGCCCCGTTTGCGGCGGGGCGGCTGGGGGTGGGGGCGGCGCGGGGCAGGCCGTGGCGTTGAGAGGGCCATGTTCAGAGGCCCTGGGGGCTTCGCTCCTCCGGGCTCAGGCGCCTGACTTCTGGTGTGTGGGGACCCCGACACCCCC